AAGTCAATGGGATTTTGATGCATTGCAATGCATCGTAGAATCGAATTGAATCGAATCGTTACCTGGTGAATCATAATCGAATCGAATCGTGAGGGAAGTGCCAATGCACACCCCTACTTTATTCTGATAATGTCTCGACTTTATTCTCATAATGTTATGACTTCATTCTGATAATATTATGACAACTAATTTAGTACTCGATTAATCGTTACCATGAGTGTAGAGACTCTAAACATGCCTTTAGCTAACAGAGAAACCCACTTAGAGCATTCATTTTACCAAAATTGTAAAAATAAAAAATGTATAAACATTTTGCATTTAAGATAAAAATCCTTTTTTCATCCGTCAATATGTTCCATCCAGAACTTCTCAAATGGAAAAGTTTTAGTTTCACCTGGTTTTAGATTCACAAAAAGTCTTCTTTAAGGAACCTTTTGCTATCAGAATATTAATCGATTGATCAAAAAATGTATTGCATGATTAATCGGTTTGCAAATTAATCATTAGTTTCATCCCTAATTCTGAAAATGTTACAACTTTATTCTCAATGATATGACTTTATTGTGATAACTTTTTTCTCATATTCAAAAAATAAACCTCTAACCTGGCCCTAATCTTTCCTTAATACTGTCCAGCCTCTCTTTCTTTCCAGCCAGCAGAACATCTCCTAAAGCAAGCAGCTGGACTCCTCGGAGAACCCAGAGAGAAAAAGTTTTCCCAGCGCAGCTCGAGCTGCAGGGTGAACTCAGACATGGGGAATCGTTGCTGCTGTAAGCTAAAAATGTTGTTGCGATAAATCTCAGCTTTCCTGTATTTTTCTGGAGGGACTCATTTGTGCGTGTGCAGCCAAGCCATGCGAAGCCTTGCTGTGATCTGGAACCCTTTAAAATGAGAAATCCAAGAGTGAGCGATGAAGCCAGATTTCCACCAGGGACATTTTTAGGCTGTAATTACTCCATTACTGATAAAAATTTGCACGCATCCAGTATGAGCCAATGATTGGTGAATGTGAGACAGAAGGAATGAAATCTGAAGAATGAACTTGGAAGTGCACAGATCGCATTCTTTGCTTATTATGAAGGTGGGTTATTACAGGTCAAATGTAGACTGATTTACCCCGGGCTGGATCATACTGGTTTAGGTTTCTGACGCAACATTGTCCAAAAAAAAAATAGATCCTTGTTGGATCTACTTTTTTCACAGCGGCCGTGTGTCGCTGTGACATTTTCTGTTGTTCTCTGAAAAATACACCTTTTGGTGACAAACGAGGGAATCATTAGCGATTCCTTTTCTGCTGCTGGGATCATCGACAGTTTCTTAAAAACAGGGTGGGTCTCAGAAACCTCTATTTGAAGCCATATTGAAACAATTTATTAACTCTGAAAAAATGTTCAAAAACATTTTCATTGTGTGTTAATACTTTCAAGATTTTTGGTTTTCTAATTTGTAAATATAATGAGATCCTAAACCCGCCTGCCTTGACTTCCTGGTGAAGTCTTCTCTCAGAGTGTGGAAGTCAGAAATATAGCACTACTATAAACTCACTACTTGG